AGCTAGTAAATCCCGTCGGAAAGAATCTCCATGAATAGAAGTCCTCTGGTGGGAGTTCGTAGTGCAAGTACTCTAGCTACCGCGTAGTGTAGTACTAAACCACAAAAGAGCTATCATGTATAATTTAGAAGCATATATGTCAAAATCATCATAGTTTTGTGTCAAATATTCCTGAAAAATTTTAAAGGTGTTTGAAATTTTTTAAAAATTTGCATGAAAAGATACGAAACAAAGAAAATAAATCAGTACGGATAAACATCCTCCCCCAGACTTAAATCACACTGTCCTCAGTGTGTAAAAGTCGGAGAAAGATGGTGAACAAAAGAAATAAAGTCTAATAAAAAGAAAATAAAGGAAAAGAAAATGATATTAGCACCGTAGTGGTGATGGCATGATGATGGGTAGATGCAGACCTATGTCTCTCGGCTGCCATCTGTCTCTGTGGCAGAGGAATCGTCATCAAACTAGTGGTTCTGCTTAAGGAATCGCTTCACATGCCTGTTAAGTCTCTCCTGCTGCTCAATCTTCCTCTCCAAAGCTGTGAAATCTGAATCACTCCTAGTGGATGTGCTGGTGCGAGATGATCTCACTCTGATGGGCACTATTGCAGGCTTGGGTCTTCTGCGAGTCTCAGCTGTATCCCTCATGGCTTTTGCAGCCAGGAACTGACTCACAGTCAACGGAAAAAGTGGAACAGATGGTAAGAAGTCATGCGTACCTGGTCTCCATCCAGGGTTTGTGCCATCTCTGAGCCTAAGGACTGAATCTGATGGTAAAAGAACTCTGAACTCAGAAGTGCCAGTGGAACTTGTAAGCAAATCCAATGGGATCCATCTTTGTCCTGGATATGGTTCTGCCTTTGGAGAACTGGGATAGGTCGACTAGTCTTCGCGAAGAGGGTTCTCAGCTGATACATCAACCCCTGATGCAAGCATAATGGCAGTGATGATGCTTCCAAAGGCTGGTGAGAAGTCTTGTCAATCAGAGTTGAGAACATGACTTTTACCATTTTCTTGCCAATGATGTATACAAAGCAAGAAAACGAGGGTGATCTGCGAATGGGAGCTGAAGAGTGACTAGTTCTGGCTTGAGTACATTCCCCTGATTGCTCCTAGAAAATGATGTGAGCAAGCAACTTATGGACAAATCGCACTGCTGGGTGAGTGGGGAGAGAAGCCTTGGATCTTCCTTTGTCATACGCTCCTTGACCCATTACTCTCCATAGATCCTCTTCTGGATCTTTCTCCAAAGTCATCTCATCATTGTATGGGAGCTTTAAAGCTTCACCCACATCTCCAAAATGGTTAGTGAATAAGGATGTCATTTAATACAGAAGGAGAGTGTACCATGTAGAGCTCTGGGATCGGCTTTCTTCTTGTAGCACAAGTGTTGAAACCGATAATGATCCCTGTAGAGTTCCCGAAAGTCCAGCGTTTTTAGCCAATCGATATTTACTTGTTCTTTTAGATCTGCATTTTATTTGCCTTAGTTTGATTTTCTGCTTGTTTCATTTGCTTCTATTCGACTTTCTACTTGCTTTTTAAATTAGATTCATTTGCTTTCTTTAGTTTTAGTTTAATCTGTAACAAATAACAACCCTTTTAAAATCGATTTGTTCTAGACATAAACTTAGAAACCGTAGAAAAATACTAGGCACACAAATCTCTGTGGATTCGATCTCTAAGTACTACAACTGATTAGTTGTGCACTTGCGGCTTTCATTTGTTTTTATTAAGGTTAAAACTTGTTCTGTCACCTTGTAGCACATCATGGTCAAAGATGCTAGGTACTTTACTATTACATATCCAGATGGTACGAATGGAGCATCGATTCGTTTTCGTATCATAGACGATGGGTAAGTCAATTTCGAATTACCAATAGTTAGTGTATTTAATTAGATCATAATGAAGTATTTGATCAAAACATAAACATAGAGATGTAATGCTTCAGTTTATCGCACACGGTGTGTTAGCATCTGAAATCAAAGCAAAGTGTATGGAGTATGAAGAGCCTTTTGCTATCTGTGTGTTTAACGGATTGGTGTGTGACAGTTAACGGTGGTATGTGTTCTAATTATACAATATTTTGTTTTGAAAAGAATGTTTTATAATCTAAAATGAATCTAATGATGTATGTGTTTAGAGAATATGATTATCAAAGATCATGAAGAACACGGTTTATCCCGTTTTATTGCTTTTTCACTAATCAATGAGGTTTCAATTTTAACCACCAAGTAAGTAGTTTTATCGATAGTATTTAGATTTGAATTAGAACGATACTAATAACACTAATAAACATATACTTTATAACTAATATTTCAGGATTTGGAACAAGATAAAGTGTTTGGATGCATCTGATCTCTAATGGTCCTGATCGAATACATTCATTAATATTTCAGAATTTAATTTCATTATATTAGTAATTAATATTGTTTTCAATTTTCATCCTAATTACATATCGCTCTTGGATTAACCTATGAGAAGTTTTTTTATGTAACCTTGGATTTTAGTTGAAGTCTTATCGCCAATAATATGATCTAGGTTTTTTTTCTTATAAAAACTATTCGTTAATATTATAATGTATTCTCCATACATAACATTTCAGTTCTGTATATGCATATTTTGATCCAATTAAAAGAGTTTTTAAATCATAATAACAAAAAAATGAAATTTAACAATAAAGTAACTATTTAACTAGAAAAAGATAACAATGTCAGTAAAAAGTGATGAACATTAATTAGCTTACATATCCAAATTATAAAAAAAATGGAAATTGAGTTTAAAAGATGCAAGAGTTGGGAAAAAGAGGTATGTGATCAAAAAAATAGTCGTCTTTAATTTTATTAAAATCATCTGTGTAGTCTAGCCTGCATGAACAAGAGAAATAATTAATCGATTAGTCAATTAATGTAGTTTAGGAAAATTACAAATTGTTACCAGAGAAACAATACTTACGTAAAACGAGCATTTTCAGCTTCAGGGATTGGAGGAACGAACAATATTTCAGAGAACTCTCGGCCAGAAGAAACACATATCTCATCTGCACAAATAGAAAAATTCTATTAGCTATAATTGATATATACTGATATATGGTTGATTGAGAAAATGAAAAAAATTCGCGGTTCGTCGATCGATACATCTCCCAGAATCTTAATACACAGAAAACGATTGTGCGACGGGGGATGTTTTTCTATAGGTTTTCAAAATGTTCAGCATCTCTACCCTATGCAATGCAATTGATGTCGACTCCCCTGTAAACGAGAAATAAAATGACATTTTCGTTAATATAAAGAACATCATAATAAATATTTACATTGGAATTAGTTTATGTATGAATGAATACTTCCTCGAAATCCCTAATTGTAAATTTCAGAACACTCTGTGAGTTGATTCTCTGAGATCCAGTCCAAAACTCCTCCCATATTTCCAATTGACTAATTTTGACAATACCTCCGATCAGATCAACTAACATATAACAACATATTTCATATAGTTAGGTAAAATATTATCAATCTAAAGGGATATAATCTGATACTAAGAAAACATACCAACATCAACATTTTCGATCAAAGATTCGTCAAGGACTCTTCTAAAATTGGAAAAGGAGTATAACTGGTCCTTTGATTTATGCGATGTCTTCTCAACGTGGGTATCTTCATCGATACAGATATGGAGACTATTGAGTGTCAACCTCGAAACTCTCGGGTGTGAAGTGATTTTAAAGTTATCAATGAAGTACCAATCTCCATCGCACATCATACCTTCATAGTGTCCTAACAAACGATTCAGAATCGATGCACATATTCGATCACCCTGAATTTTTGAAATAAAAAGTAAGAATGATATTGATAATAAATTAAAAACAAGACATTAATTTCTCTTTTTTTTTGAAATATACTTACGTATTTATCTGCGAATATAAACAATCTCTGAACGCCGTGACCACCTAGACTTTGTAAGATTTGAAATAATCAAGGCCGGATCAGTCCACATTTCGATTTCTGTAGGTATTTTATTTCCTACTAATCTTTTTAGTACATTTTGTATATAGATCTGATTGGTCAAGTAGTAGATGTTGGGACTTTTGTTGGCCGCTCTTCCTTAAAACGAAGTCGTCGTTGTGGGAGTGTGTTTTTCGAACTTGGAGATGAGAAGTTTGGTATTTTAAATAATTTATACCATATTTGTGAATTTGTATCATGTTTATCCTTGATATTAAGCTCATTGATTTTAATAATTTGTAGTGGTTGTCGTCTACAAGTGCATCTAAATGGTGATTACTCGGAAAATTTCTTAGAATCTCTGCTTAGTTGCAAATAAACTATGATCATCTGTGTGTTAAGGTTTGCAAAGGTGATTCAAGTGTATGACATTTAGATTGTTACAATAGCATTCAAATGTAGTAAAGTTTTGATTGATCCTCCAATCTCCGAGGTTGACCGATTCAGGCTTTAGAGGCTTAGTCATAGAACGTTTTTTAGAAAGAAAATTTATTAAATTTTGTTTCTAGTATTGAATACCATTTTTTTCTTTCTATTTTTGCTTAATATTAAAAAGGAAAACTTATTAGATTGAGTACATTAATGATATAGTTTCGTTTATTTTTTTTTTTAATTTAAGTTTTGTGTAACTCATTTTAAAAATCAGAGGATATATAACGAACGTTGAACAAGAAAAATTATACAACTTAATTGTCATCCATAAACTCAAAATATGACTTAGAATAATTGTATAATTGTTAAATTAATAAGCTTTAGTTCATAATTATAATCGTTTTTGTTATTAATTTTTTTAAGATACTTGTTCTAGATAATTGTCCAGGTATACAAGTATCTAAAAATTAGCCTACGTATTTTGAAGGCCAAAAACACTTTAAGATCCTTCGTCTTAGGTCAAACATACCTGTCGACTACTTAATCTGATAATGTTCTGTTGATCTGTTCCATGCCCTTCTAGAATCAGACAACACAAAAAGTTCTGTTGCATTTTCCGGAAAGAAAAAACTAAAAGTAAAAGTAATTTAAAGAAAAATCTGTTATTAGCTGATACTCCGTGTGTCTCGTAGATTTAGATGCTGGCTATTATTACCACCCATTAGCCCCTATTTATGTCCTAGCCGATACTTGACGGTTACTACAACTCATAGCATCATCATCAATTCCTGATCAATGTCGTCTTTCCTTGGAAGTTCTCTTTCCTTCATATTATTTTCTCTTCTAATCTCACCGGCTGTGTCACAGTCATCATCATCATGTTCCTCACAGACATTTTCCGGCAACAAATCTTACCCTCACTGCCTCGACCTCCCTAACCTCAAAGCCTTCCTCCATTACTCTTACGACGCTGCTAACACAACTCTCGCGGTTGTTTTCACTGCTCCGCCGTCTAAACCCGGCGGGTGGATCGCTTGGGCGATTAATCCGAAATCCACCGGCATGGCTGGATCTCAAGCACTCGTCGCCTCCAAAGATTCCAAAACCGGCGTTGCCTCCGTGACGACGCTCAACATCGTCTCATATAGCTCGCTTATCCCAGGCAAGCTATCGTTCGATGTGTGGGACGTTAAGGCGGACGAGGAAGCGGCTGGAAATTTGCGAATCTTCGCGAAAGTGAAGGTTCCGGCGGATTTGGCCGCGAATGGGAAGGTTAACCAGGTTTGGCAGGTTGGACCGGGAGTGACAGCTAACGGGAGGATACAGCCGCACGATTTCAATTCTCCGAATCTTAACGCCATGGGAGCGCTCGATTTGACCGGCGCCACCACCAGCGTTCCTGTACCCAGCGGTGGCGACGGTAACTCTAGGGTTCATAAGAAAAACGTGAGTTTGATTTTGATTTTGTTTTTGTTTCCATCTCTTCCAAAAAATTCAAGAAGAATTAACAATCTGAATTTGAATTTGATTATGAATTTGACAGATCCATGGGATATTGAATGCGGTGAGTTGGGGAATTTTGTTTCCGATCGGAGCAATGATAGCGAGATATATGAGAATATTTGAATCCGCAGATCCTGCTTGGTTTTACCTCCACGTGTCATGTCAATTCTCTGCTTACGTCATCGGCGTCGCCGGATGGGCCACCGGACTTAAGCTCGGCTCAGAATCTAAAGGTATTCAGTTCAACAGTCACCGCAACATCGGCATTGCTCTCTTCGCCATGGCCACTCTTCAGGTAAATCAATGCTAATCATCATTAGAATGTAAGTGAAATGCAAGTTGGCCAATAGAAAAAGAAGTGATTTGTTGTGTTGTTGAATGATGCTTGTGTCTTTTTGCGCGTGTTTAAAGATGTTTGCGATGATGTTGCGGCCAAAGAAGGACCACAAGTTAAGATTCTTTTGGAATATCTACCACCATGGAGTTGGATACTCTATCCTTATCCTTGGAATCATCAATGTTTTCAAAGGTCTTAGCATCTTGAATCCAAAGCATACTTACAAGACGGGTTATATCGCTGTGATTGCGGCATTAGGAGGGATCACTTTGCTATTGGAAGCTGTAACTTGGGTCATTGTCCTTAAGAGAAAATCTGCCAATTCGAACAAGCCTCCCAAGGCCTGATCTTAAGTAATTCAAAGGATTTTTTTATATTTGAAGTTAGAAACTGCATTGTCTTTTTTTCCGAGATTGATTTATCTCCTGACGTCGCTTTGTTTGATGATGTTGATGATGATGACCTGTTTTGATGATGTTGATGATGATGACCCATTTGGTGTTTTATGTATAGCAGGAGAAATATATTATGTATTAGTGATTGTTCTTTCTAGCTTTATTTTGTTACGTTTGTTTATGACTGTGATTCAGAGTTCAGCAATGCTAGCATCGATTTAGTCGATTTAGGGGTGCTTAGCAATAAAATAATGTTAAACTTAAAAGAGAACGAGAAGAGAAAAAATGAGGAAAGATAAAACGAGAAAAGAGAAAATGAAGAGGCTTTTCTCTACTGATGTTTCTTCTTTTCTATCTGTTTAATAAACAAACGCCACGTACCCTCTAAGCATTGATGCTTATAGGCTTTATTTAAGCATGGTTTCTTCAATTTATTTTTATTTTGGATTTATTTTTGGGGTTAAGTATCGATTAAAAACGGGCTAAGCATCCCAAACCAAATAGAAATTTTTTAATTTTTAATGTTTTTTTAGATTTTTTAATTCCCCTTGTAATAAAGTTTAAATGAGATTAAGACAAAATAAAATATGTTCAAATGACTAAGAAACAGTAAACATTAAAATGCTAGCCTTCCGGCTTGATTTTTGGGGCAAAACACTTGTCAGAAGATTCTTTTTTTTCCGTATAATTCTGTGTCTAGCTATTTTCGAATCACCTTTAAATACAACTCTTTCTTTTTACTGTTTTCTGAGAATGATAGATTCTAGTGGAAATCTGTTTGAAGCTTTTTTACAACGTTGTTTCAACTTTTCTTTCATAAAAGTGGTTTACATTGTCTATCCGGGATAAACTAGTAGATACACAAGACCATTAAAGACATTATTGATTCAAAAGATCACTAAGTATGTTTGAGGGTTAATAAAGATGACTAAGATGAAATGGGGGTAAGATTTTTGTAATATAGAAAACATTTGATTTTGACAAGGAAATTAACTGAGTAAACTGGCAGGTCGGAGACATGTCTTTTGTATTGATAGAGCAAACATTTAGAATTTTGAACTAAGTCCAGAGGGAAATTAGTTTGGCATTTTATACACTTGGTTACAAAGAGCTCGGTTTAGAGAAATAGAGAGTTACAAGTAGAAAGAGAATAATAAACTCGGGATCCTCTCATAAATGATATTTGGAGAGTATTTATACCAGGGGTTGGAAAGTGGGTATCCGCTTAACCGGGACAACGTGGCAGCTTTGGCGCATTGCGTGAGTATGGCGTCTATTAGCTCAGCACATCGTAGTTCGACATATTATGGCCTAGTTCGGCCTAGCCCAGAATGTCGTAGCTCGAGGTGACGTAGCTCAATGTTTGCACATGATTAGGGCAAACCTTTTCTCCGGTGTTAGGCGGAAAACTTCTCTCATTTTCCCGCGAAGACTCTTGAATTCCCCGCGTGTGTCTGTTATGCACAGACACGAATAGACATTTATCTGCTTTTTTGGTTTTGTGGTTTTCGATGACGGCACTAAAGCGGCGTCATCATTAGGATTTTCTCGGTTTCTCGCACCGCTTTGCCAAGTATCAATCGATTCATCTTCGATTGGTCGCTTTTTCTTCCTTCTTTTCTATTTAAATCCTCTTCTCCTCATTTCCTCTCACTTTTACTCTTCTAAGAAAAATCGTAGAAAATTCTTCCTTTTTCCTCTCTCCTTTGATTTCTTTGGCTCACCGTGATTTTGATCTTCTCATTTCTCAGATTCTTCTGATTTCAACAATTTTTAGTCTCGATCCTTCATATCTTGCAATGGCATCGCTCTTCGATAGAGTTACGGTTGAGTCTAACTCTGAATCTGGTTCTCGTGATCACGACGACATGCTCCCAGAAAGTTCCTCGCCGAGATATGGCTTGGAATAGACGACCTCTTTCCGTCATGACGAGGATGACGAAATGGATTCTATTCTGCTGATCGAGCTGGCTCGTCGGAAGGATCCTCGGATTAGGATATCTGCAGACAGGAATGTGCCTGACCGCAATCGCTGAGGGGTATGAAATGCGGCTTAATGACGACTGGGTGCAGGTCGAAGAGGCAGAGGATCCGGCTAGGGCTCTCGAGGAATCGGCAGCAGCGACGGTGGGGCTGAAGAAGGACTTAGAAGATGAGAAAGCTCGCTCCGTCTCGATGGCCGGAGTCCAGGCCGAGGTGGAGAGACTCCAGGCCGAGTTGGAAGTGGAGAAGACAAAGTCGGCAGGCCTAGAAGAGCAACTCCCTCTCGCGGTCAAGGTCGTGAAGAAGGTTACCGCAGAATGGGACACCTTTCAAATCGAGGCGGAAAGAATTCACGCTGAATTGGACTCAGAGAAAGTAAGATCGGCTGGACTGGAGGACCAACTTGCCAATTCAAATGGGGTGATTAGGATCATCACCACGGAGCGAAATGGTCATAAAACCGAGGTTTTGCGGCTGACGGCTGAGGTTTTGCGGCTAAACACCGTAATCGAGAGCGCGAAGGCCCACCTTGCTTAGGAGAATGAGCGCATCGCAAAGGAGTCGAAGGTGGGAGGATTGGATGACGAGGATTCGGGATAACCTGGCCGGTCGGGATAGGGAGCTCCCGGTGCAGATGTTGTTGAGCTAGGCGGTAGGTAAGTATGAGTGCCTCATGAAGATGAGGAGATGCACAACCTAACTCCCCCGCCAAAAGTTTTGGCGAAGCTGAAGTAGGATGAGGCCGCATTTGAAGCTCAGCTCGCCAAGATTGACTATCCTGAGCTCACCGAAGAGGATCTTTCGGAACCTGGTGGGAGCGTCCCGGTTATCCGACCTGAGGAGGCTCTTCCGGCTACGGTCGGGGAACATTCTGCTCCCTTCCAAACTTCTTTGACTGCGGAGGTGACTCCTACACCTGGCCAAGACGTTCTGCCCTCGGCTTTGGTCCCCGCTGCCTCGGATCTAAACTCCAAGGAACAAGATGGTGTCGGGGTGTTGAACCAACCCTTCAGCAGTCTTCATGGAACGAACGCTCAGATGCTGAGCCCAGAAAACATCGGCAGCCTTCGCGCGGATAGTCAGAACCATGCCGAATAACCGTCTTTGTACTATGTAGCTTTCTTTCCCTTTTTCATATAATGTTGTAGGCCGAAGCACCGTAATTTTCAGTTGTAGGACGCAGGACATTTTTCCTTAAATAAAATGATTTGTGAATTTATTGCAAATTTGCGAGTTGGTAGCTCGGCTTAAATTTTAAAGAAAGTGTGGTATAGGTGTGAGTAACGAGCTCAGCTTTAAACACTTATAGCTTGTGTGATGTTTGATGCAGGTCAGAACTTGGCTAAAACACTTAATCATCTGTGTGCTAGGTGCAAGTCGGAACTCGGCTTTGAATGTGTAGCTCGGAAGTGAGTTTCTTTGTTTAAAAGATTTTATTATATTAATAGCTGTGCTGGGATTAGAAGTTGCCTACGTACCCTTTGATAGAATGAATCAAGCCAGTTGTAGTTTGGTTGTTTACATAGATGAGATTATGAGTTCAGGAACTTAGTAGTAATATAGTTTCAGATTCATCTACATTCTCCAAGTAGCTGGTCTCGGGAATTTGATGGACATGTCTCATCCTGCTTACAGTGACTCCACTGCCCAATTCCTTGCTTCAGTGCTCGTCATTTTCTATAATGAGGGTGAGGATGAAGGGTATGGTTCTATAGACTTCAAGATTGGTATGAAAAGATATGAGATGACTTTTTCTAAGATAAGTGAAGGCTTTGCTTTTTCCACTGAGAATATGTCTGATACTGGTAAGGCATCCGTCAATAAGGATGAGTTGGAGGACCTTTGGAAAAGCTCAGCTAATGGGGGTTATCTTTCTGGAATAAGCAAGGTTTCAAACTTGAGGAACCCAGCGATAAGAATGGCTCACAAAATTGTAGCTCAGAAATTCTTTGGGAAGAAAGAGTTTGGTGATGTGTGTGATGAAGAGTTGAGAATTGTAACAATGGGGATGAAGGCTTTCATGCCTTTTTATCAGAGTGGTGCACCATTTATAGGGGATGAGGTAAAACCTTCTATGACAGCACTTCTAATAAAGCATCTTCTACACATCAAAACCTGGGCTTACACCACAAAGATGCAGAGGCCACATCTGAGCTGTGGAGGTCTTTTCACTCCTCTCCTAATTGCTAAAGGGGCACCTCTGCTTGGTGAGAAGAAGCACTTTAGGTTGATGGATTCAGCACATCTGATGAAGATAACTTTCCTTGAGGGCTCTGTGGAAGGAGGCTTGTTTGCTTATAATCCCACCTTCTATGAGAGAGATGTGAGGGTGCTGCTGCCCAATACTTCCATCAACTCACTCTCCAACCAGAGGAACATTGCCTTTCATGTCACAAAAGACCTCCACTACAACCCAACTATTCATCCTCATATCATTAGTGTCAAAAAGAAGGTAAGCAAGGAGAAGAGAGAATTAAGCGATGATGAAGAAGCCCAAGAGCCTCAAGAAGATAAGCCAGTTATCACCGATCCAAAGTATGGTAGTGAGAGGTACTTCTTCACTCCTTATAATGGAAGAATGGCGGAGTTCATTGCCCAAGGTCACTACCACACCAGTATGCTTTAAAGTTGGAACAAGTGGCAAGACAAGAAAATCAGGAAGCTGGTGAAATCCGTCAAGAGCTTGAAGAAGACTGTTAAGGGGATGAATAGCAAGATCAAGGAGCTTAGCAGCAAGGAAGAGAAAGGAGAAATCTCCCAGCCATCAATGTTGAACCGCTGCAAGCTAGAGAAGGTGTAGGAGAGAGTTCTCAGCCAGAGGGCCAGGTGGTAGTTTTCAGCGATCAAGGCTCACCTGATGAGGAGCTGAGGGCAAAGAGAGATGCCATGAAAACACCATCAGACCAGTCCAGCAACCCATCCTACTCACTGGGGTCTCCAACCCCACCTCCAAGTCCATGAGAAGGTAACACTCCAACCTGTATATAGCATCTAGTTTAGTTTGTTTTCTCCTTTGTATTTTGTGTTTTGATTTGTACTCCTCTCTTATGCTTTTATAACACAAGGGACTGTGTTATTTAAGTTTGGGGGAGGGGTTTAGTATTGCTAATAATGTTTGCTTTGTTCATATTTTGATTTGCATATTGACTCTGCATCTAAGTGCATAG